TGAGGATCCCCAGCCCCAACGCCGTCGCTCCTGCTGCTGCTGCGTTGCTATTTCCCGCCGCCGCCGCACCTGCTGCTGTTGCTATTTCCCACCGCCGCCGCGCCTATTGTGCAGACTAATGCACCTCCCAGCCCCACCTTCGTCGCTGCCGCTGCTACTCCGTTGCTAATTCCCGCCGCCGCCGCACCTGCTGCTGTTGCTATTTCCCGCCGCCGCCGTGCCTGTTGTTCAGACTAATGTATCTCCCAACCCCACCGCCGTCGCTGCCGCTGCTGCTGCGTTGCTGATTCCCCCCGCCGCCGCGCCTGCTGTTGAGAGTAATGGCCCTCCCAGCCCCACCTTCGTCGCTGCTGCTGCTGTTGCGTTGCTATTTCCCGCCGCCGCCGCGCCTGCCGTTTAGGCTACTGCACCTCCCAGCCCCACCTTCGTCACTGCCGCTGCTACTCCGTTGCTAATTCCCGCCGCCGCCGCGCCTGCTGCTGTTGCTATTTCCCGCCGCTGCCACGCCTGCCGTTTAGGCTACTGCACCTCCCAGCCCCTTCGCCGTCGCTGCTGCTGCTGCTGCATTGCTATTTCCCGCCGCCTCCGCGCCTGTACTTCTGACACATTACAGCCACACAGCGCAACCCCTCCAACAACAACAGGATGCCAGAATGCAGGGGCAGAGGAACATACGCCTGTATGGAGGCGCTGGCTCGCCACCTGCACCATGCACACCTGGTCAACCCACCCCAGCGCTACCAGATGGGGTGCACAGCCTGTACAAGGCTGCTGGCTCATCAAGGCGCATGCCAGGCACATCCCATGCGCACACCCTCCCTGCCCAGCCTACTTCTGACACATTACAGCCACACAGCGCAACCTCTCCAACAACAACAGGATGCCAGAATGCAGGGGCAGAGGAACATACGCCTGTATGGAGGCGCTGGCTCGCCACCTGCACCATGCACACCTGGTCAACCCAGCGCTACCAGATGGGGTGCACAGCCTGTACAAGGCTGCTGGCCCATCAAGGTGCATGCCAGGCACATCCCATGTGCACACCCTCCCTGCCCAGCCTACTTCTGACACCGTTTGAACGTCATCATGGCCTTAGTCGGGGGATGGCAAAACGAGGGGGGAAAGGGGTAAAACGTGGCGGAGCTGAATGGTTAGGAGGGCGATTTAAGGGTATGACGGGGGCCCCCTGCAACCTAGGCGACGCATTCGTTCGAACGTCACCATGCCTGCAGTCCGGGGATGGCAAAACGAGGGGGGAAAGGGGGAAAATGTGGCAGGGTTGATTGGTTAGGAGGGCGTGTTTAAGGGCATGACGGGGGCCCCCTGCAACCTAGGCGACGCATTCATTTGAACGTCACCATGGCCAGCAGTCCGTGGATGTCAAAACGAGGGGGGAAAGGGGGAAAACGCGGCGGGGTTGATTGGTTAGGAGGGTGTGTTTAAGGGCATGACGGGGGCCCCCTGCAACCTAGGCGACGCATTCATTTGAACGTCACCATGGCCACAGTCCGTGGATGTCAAAACGAGGGGGAAAGGGGGAAAACGCGGCGGGGTGGAATGGTTAGGAGGGTGTGTTTCAGGGCATGACGGGGGGCCCCTGCAACCTATGCGACGCATTCGTTTGAATGTCACCATGGCCGCAGTCGGGGGATGGCAAAACGAGGGGGGAAAGGGGGAAAATGCGGCGGGGTGGATTGGTTAGGTGGGCGTGTTTAACGGCATGACGGGGGC